TCTTTGTTTTTAAGTTTTTATGCTAGTGAAGGATTTGGTTTTAAAAACAGTGATGAGCTGGTCATGGTGGCGCACATTTGTAATCCCAGCACTGGGGAGGCTCAGGCAGGAGGATTGTTGCTAGTTCAATGTCATCCTGGGCTACAGAGTGAGTTGAAGGCCAGCCTGAACTGCGTAACAAAATTGTCTCAAAAAGACAATGAAAGAAAAGCAGTTATAGCTATTTGTGATTGTGCACACCTGTAATATTAGCCAGCTACTCAATTGCCTGGGACAGAATTACAAGTTTGAGATTAGGTTAGACAATTTAGTGAGGCTATAGTCTCAAACTTTTTGAAAAATGTATAAAAAGTGGGAGTGTATTTCAATGATTTAATCCTCAGTGCTAAGGGGAAAAAAGTTATATCAAATATTTGCAAGTAAATACATTATTTTACAAAGCACCTACTTGTAACTATCATTTTATAAGGCTGACTAGGAGATACTGAGGTACATTGTTGTGACAGTGCAGTGTGACTTCCCTGGCTCCCTTTTGGTGAGAGGCTTGGGATTTTTTATAACTTTTATCAGAGTTTCTTTTAGACAAATGTTGCTGTTTGCAGAAATTTCAAAAATTAAGCTTCTTTGTGTTTCTCCCTAGTTGAGAAGAAGGGCCTTAGAATAGGAAAAACAAAAGCTGTGTTAAACGAGTATTTTCTGTTGATAGTGAGTTCCAAAGTAATATAAATATTTCTGCAATTTGTATAATTTACTTAATATATTGGTAGTTTCATCAAGAATAGGTTATTTTTTCATTAATCTAAATTCTAAAACTTGGAGAAATTACACAGGTATATTTGTAGTCCCAGTACACTATGATGTTTACCCTACTTTCTTCCTTGAAAAAGCTCAAACAGGAAGTTAACGATGGAAACATAACGCTTGTCCACCTTGCCTTCAAAGAAGCTCATTTTTACCTTGTCATAGCTGCAGGAGGAACCCAGCTTTAGAGGGCTATAAAGGAGAACAGGACTAAATTGTGATTTAAAAAAATATGTACACGAGCAGATTTGAATTGCAGTTTGTTTTTTGTTTTTATCTGTGAGCCAAGAACCCAAGACAAATATGTGCTTTTTTTTTTTTTTTTTTTTTTAGCGTAGGAACCCTAACCGGGTAGATATATCCAAGCTGTGTTCTGTTTCTATAAAATAACTAAGTAAGGCCACAGAATGTTGTAAGAGTTGAAGTTAGATACTCTGTTAATGGTGGATGAACTTTCTTTTGGTCAGGACCAAAATGTCTTTGACTCTAAGAAGAAGGTGAAATTAACCAACGCAGAAGGAGTAGAGTTTAAGCTTTCAAAGAAGCAACTGCAAGCTATAGAATTTAACAAAGCTTTACTTGCTATGTACACAAACCAGGTAAGATGCATTGATTTCCTGGATAAACCTTTGTATAACATATGAGTTGTAATGGGTGTATTATCTTAACCTGTTTTTATTTTTTGTTTATAGTTTATTTTCCTTCAGAATATCATGTGTCATAGACTTTTTTTTATATACAGTTTACCCAGTTCTGTGTAAAGATAGATTACAGAAACTCAGTGGTTGACAGTGCTGGCACCTTAAATGAGATGACTTTCTCATTACTTTTTGTTTTGTGGTACCATGGATTGAACTCAGGACCTTGCGCTTGCCAGGCAGGCACTTATGCCACTGAGCTATATCTCCAGCCTGTCTCATTACTTTTTACTTTCTGGATTAAAATAAATTTGTCAAAAATGCCAGTTACAATTAAGATTTGATTCTTTCCATTTTAGTTGGGTATAATTACAAGTTATGAATGTTAAAGAGATTAATTCTAATATATGTATTCTAACTATAAATTCATACTTGTCTAAAATATATTTTTGATGAAAGTAAGGCAGTAATTTTATTATTTAAAATTGGGTCAGGTTATTAGTATTTTATATCGTGATTTTAATACTTGATATGCTTTTAAAAATCTGAATTTAGACATTCAGTTGGATATTTAGAATTGTTATAGGTTTTTAGAGCTCAGTTTAAACTCAGTAAGTTGAAATTTTTTCTTTTACTTTAAATTGGTTCTTTATTTAGGCAGAGCAGTGCCGTAAAATATCTGCTGGCTTACAGTCCCAAAGTCCTGAGCATCTCCTGCCAGTATTAATCCAAGCTGCCCAGCTCTGCCGGGAAAAACAGCACACAAAAGCAATAGAGCTACTTCAGGTAAAGACACTGTGCTTGAATTTTTAATGAAGAATCAGGCAGCCTTGTTTCATTTCATTATAATAACCTGCAAACTTTTATCTTTAACAGGAAAGCTAGTAATTTCTCTACCACTAGATAAATTCCAGGTTACTTTAGTTAATTGTTAGGTTATAGTTTTGTTTTATATAAATTTACATAAGCCTGAAGAATGTTTTCATTTGGTGATGCATTTTATATGAGATAAAGGCTGGCTTTAGGCTCACAATACCAGTACCAAACTCTGCTTCCGTGTGTATTCTCTGGCAAGTCCTACTCCAAAATCGCAAACAGTTGTGGAAGTACTGACTTATTTTTACTTACACCTGCTGATACTACATATTTGAATTTCTTGACTAGAAACTATGCTAGAAAGTTTGACGGTAAAACTGGACCATCTTGAGAGGCAAAGTTGCCTACCAGGGTCCCTTAAGGAGGCACTCTTTGAACGTCTTTTTTTATAGGATTCCACTTTATTTATTTTTAGATTTATTTGTGTGTGTGTGTGTGTGTGTGTGTGTGTGTGTGTGTGGCCAGCTCAGCCCACCAGGGGGCGGGGCTGGCTGGCATGTGGTGCTGGGAGATTGAACCGCGGTCCCTGTGCTTTGCCAAGCTTGTTGTAAGTAGGTGCTTTAGACCACTGAGCCATCTCACCAGCCCTTGAACGTCTTTTTTTAAAAAAAGCAAAAACGTTTACATAGTAGTCCTTACTGTTTGATTATCAGTGACTTCCTGGAAACTTAATAGATTATATTTTTGGAGCATACCTTATATAAAGCAAAACAGATATCTAATAAAATTTTTTCCAAGTTAAGATTTTGACCTGAACTAGGTTTAATATGTGAGAAATCTGTTAGCTGAGGTAATTATAATGTTTACTATTGTATAGATTGTGACTTTTTTTCCGTCTAACTAAAAATATTTTAGGAATTTTCAGATCAGCATCCAGAAAATGCAGCTGAAATTAAGCTGACCATGGCACAGTTGAAAATTTCTCAAGGTACTAATATTTCATTTAAGATTTCTTGCAAGATAATACATGTAATTATCATTGTTTCCAACATGAAGATAGGCCATGTGGTCTCCAGCACTTAGTGGTGACCCTTTTGTGGATTTTTTTAAGTTATGAGAATAAACTTCAGTCTGGATGTTGAAGGTCAAGAAAAGGAAAGAGGTGTCCTTACTTCCTCAGATTTCCTAAGTTCTTAGCTTCACTTTTTATTCTTCATTTGTACATGCCCACCTGTAGAACTTAGTACCCTATGTTTGATTCTTTTTTTTTTTTTTTATTTATGTGTGTGTGTCCAGCTCAGCCCACCAGGGGGCGTGGCTGGCTGGCATTTGGTGCTGGGGGATTGAACTGTGGTCCCTGTGCTTTGCTAAGCTTGTTCTAAGTAGGTGCTTTAGACCACTGAGCCATCTCACCAGCCCCCTATGTTTGATTCTTAACAGGAAAACTGCCAGTGATTTGGCAGCTGTTTTAAACCAACCTTGAATCATTATCTAAAATTGTGTTCTCTGGTATACTAGCCACTAGGCACATGTAGCTGTTTGAAATTTACTTATTTTTGTGGTACTGGGGGTTGAACTCAAGACCCTGCACTTGCCAAGCAAGCACTTATTCTACTGAGCCATCTTCCTGGCCCCCAGCTACTTGAAATTTAATCAAAATTTAAATTTCAGTTCCTCTGGATTAGTGCTAGCCATCCTTTAGAAACATAGTATCTACATGCAGTCAGTGGCCCTTGGGTTGGGCAGCACAGATGATAGAGCATTTCTAGCTTTATAGAAAATTCTGGGCCCAGGGAGATGACTCAGTAAGGGCCTGAGTTCAATCCCCCGTACTACAAAAAAAAAAAAAAAAAAAGAAAAATTCTGTCAGATACCTCTGATGCAGTGGCATACCTTCTCATTGGGGGTGATAAATGGTCAGCAAGTTCTTGCAGTGGCAGGAATAAAAATCATGGGTCGTGGGAAGGGAGTTGATAATTAGGGGGAAAAATGTCTTAAAAGGCTCCTTAATGAAGTAATAAGGGTGTAAAACTGCTGCTAATGTCTTTGCAAATATCTGCAACTTTCATTTTATCATTCCAAAGTTATTGAGTACAAAAATTAAGAAGTTTTTATTTCAAAAATGGAGAGAATCGGGGCTGGGGAGATAACTCAGTAGAATAAGGGCTTGCCTGGCAAGCACAAGGGCCTGAGTTCAATCTCTGGTTCTGCCAGGAAAAAAAAAAAAAAAAGAGAATAGAAAATCAGAATCTTTTTTTTTTTTTTTGGTAGAACCAGGGATTGAACTCAGGTCCTTGTGCTTGCCAGGGAAGCGCTTATTCCACTGAGCCATCTCCCTGACCCCTGAAAATCAGAACCTTAACCCCACAAATTTTCCATCATACTCACATTGGTAACAATGTATTTTAAGGCCTTCAGGGAAGAATCTCTGTTACCACTTACAAAATACAGTTTGATAAGGAGAATTAGAACCTAACAGACTGGGAGTTCCAAGACTTTCTATAGCAACTATACCATTAACTTTCTTTGTAAGCTTAAGCAAGGTGTGTTAGGTCCTCAATAGTCATTGTCCTTGTTTGTAAAAGTATACATTCCCTATTTCCAGGGACCCAAGGCTTGTGTATTTAAAGATGTTACAAGCCAGGCATGGAAGTGCATGCATGTAAATTCTAGCATTTGGGAACCTGAGGCAGGAGGATTGCTCTGAGTTTGAGGCCAGCCAGGACAACATAGTTCAAGCCCAGCCTGACCTACATGATGAGACCCTATCTCAAAATACAAAACAGATGTTGCAAAGTAAGACTCAGAATATCTTTCCTAAGGAAAAGTGATATAAAGAAGTAAACCGTCCCATAAACCCTCCCAATGTTCTTTCTTCAGTGTGGTGCTGATTTTGTTGGGGGTATTTTTGGAACCAGGAATCAAACTCAGAACCGCCCACTTGCTGTGCAGGCACTATGCTGCTGAGCTATATTCCCAGTGTCTGATTTTGTTTTTAATCTCTTAAGGTAATATTTCCAAAGCGTGTCTAATACTGAGAAGCATAGAAGAGTTAAAGCATAAACCAGGAATGGTGAGTTTGTAACTAAACTATTACAAGACTGGAATTGATTTTGCATTTATTTATCTGATGTTTCTTTATTATGATTTCTACTTAATTTCTTTTATATATTTATAAGGTAGAAGTAGAGGGAATAACAAATAACTGATATAAATTTAAGTTTACGTTGTGCTTTGCTTTTTATTGATTTTTATTATTCAGTTAAATGTGTCTGGTACTCTTTAGGACTTAAGATTATCAATGGGAAGTCAACCTAAAATGATCTCAGACCTGTACAGGGAATTCTTTTACCTGCGTGTTTGCCGTGCCACTGTTGATTTCTTTTGAGTTAAAGCAATTTGATAATAGTGGCCAACAAACTTTAATATTTATTTCTTTGATGAACTGTGACAGGTTCAGATTGTTGTTACAGCTATGAAAGCTGGAAAATTTCATAGTGGACACTAATTTTCTTTTTATTTATTTATTTATTTGTGTGTGTGTGTGTGTGTGTGGCCAGCTCAGCCCACCAGGGGGTGGGGCTGGCTGGCATGTGGTGCTGGGGGATTGAACCGCGGTCCCTGTGCTTTGCTAAGCTTGTTCTAAGTAGGTGCTTTAGACCACTGAGCCATCTCACCAGCCCCAACACTTAATTTTCTGATCGCAGGATGTGCATCTATTTTATTCACATTTGTTTCCTCCTACACAGCATGTTTGTGGTCAGCGCTAATAAGTGTGTAATATTATAGCAGTACCTTCTCTTGATTCATATTTCTTTAAAATAGAAACAAACCCAGTACATTATATGGCTGAAAATAAAATAGTTCTAATATTTTTTATCTGATCTTCTGTTACCATTCAGGAAATTTACCCACTTCATCTAAAATGTTGAACTTATTGCAATAGAATGTGTGAATAACATTTTCCCTCTCTCTTTTTTCACTCAGTGTAGTTTTTATTAGTAATTACAGTTATTGTAGGGAATTGATACATATACATAATACAACTTTTTTTTCAGCCCCTATCTTTCTACTCCTTCCCTGTTCTTCCATCTGTTGGTCTCCCTCACATTTGCAAAAGCTCTCTATTCAGCATGTCTTTCTCTCTCCTTCCTCCATCTCTTGTTCCCCCATCCCTTTGAAAAAGATCTACTTTCTTTTTTTTTTTTTTTTTTTTTTTTTTTTTATGTATTTAGTACATGGTCTACAGATGGTACTCGCAGTGGTCCTCCTGTTTTCAGCCTCCCAAGTGCAGGGATTACAGGCACATTCCACCACGCCTAGTCTCAATCACCATCTCAGTGCAACCTGGGGGCAGGGCTGGCACGGTACTGCAGGGATTGAACTCCGGTCCCTGCATCTCAATCTCTCAATCGTCAATGGTCTCAATCACCATCTTAGCATACACCAGGGGCGGGGACAGCACAGCATGCTGGGGATCGAACATCTGGTCCCTGCGCCTGCCTAAGCAGGCACGTCAGTCCGCTGAGCTATCTGGCTGGCCCCCTTCTTCTCTTTTATTTGTCTTTGATTTGACTCTTCATTTATTTTCTGCCTATTGTCCATAGAATCTCCCTCATTCCTGACACCTATTATTTGTGTTTATGAATTTTTTAAAGATCTTTTCTGTCTCTCTTATCTTCATGTCCAATGGTTCTTCATTTTCCTGCTCTTCCACTCTTAACATTGTGAGCCTCCTTGCTCTCCTTGGTAGGCACTAGGCAGGCTTTTCCTTGGCATTATGCAGTTCAGGCCACATGCAGCTATCATGGGAGCTCAGCCTCACAGGTCACACACTTTAATGTTCAGCTGTATCTTTTTTTTTTTTTTTTTTTGTGGAACCGGGAATTGAACTCAGGCCCTTGAGCTTGCCAGGCAAGTGCTTATTCTATTGAGCCATCTCCCCAGCCCCTCAGCTGTATCTTGTTGAGTAAGCATGTCTAAATGCCTGTTCTCAACTTCCAAACTTACCAAACCATTTGCTTTAGTAGGGGCCGGGGAGATAGCTCAGTAGAGTAAGTGCTTGCCTGGCACGCACAAGGGCCTGAGTTCAATATCTGGCTCCACCAAAAAGAAAAAAAAAATTTTAAAAATAATGCTTTAGTAAAAAAGGTACACTTACTAGATAATTACCTTCATTTTAGAAAACACTGTTGTTCATGGCATTGTACTGTCTAAAAAATATTTTTTATATGACGAGGTACTGACAAAGAGCCCAGCAGTCTTTTTTTTTTTAACATTTAGTGTGTGTGTATGTGTGTGTGTGTGTGTGGCCAGCTCAACCCACCAGGGGGCGCGGCTGGCTGGCATGTGGTGCTGGGGGATCGAACCGCAGTCCCTGTGCTTTAGCTAAGCTTGTTCCAAGTAGGTGCTTTAGACCACCGAGCCATCTCTCCAGCCCCCAGCAGTCTTTATTATTTCAAAAAATGTGTTCTGAGAGAGTGAAGGGAGAATTTTATTCATTAATTTATGCCTTTGGCTGACCAGGTGTCGGCTCTAGTGACCATGTACAGCCATGAAGAAGACATTGATAGTGCCATTGAGGTCTTCACACAGGCTATCCAGTGGTACCAAAACCATCAGGTAAGTAAATGGAATAAAATGTTGCAAACATGTTTTTACCTAGATAATAGAAAGCTGCAGTAATGAAATCAAAATTTCAGAGAACTAGAATATTCAAGTTACCACATTAAAATTTGGATGTTATTAGACTATCATCTTCAGTTTTGGGGGTATATTAAGTCCAAATAAAGTTATTAGACCTAAAGAATGGCTGCAAAATGGAAAAGCTCATGTTTCTTAAAACTTGATTCTCTGGGTGTATATGTGTACACTTGTGTGAGTAATCACAGTGTATAAGAATAACAGTACAATGATTGCTGATAAGAAAGTTCATCTTTATGGCTAGAAAGTCCTTTAGTGGCAGTAATTATTAGAACAGTAGTACCAGGAATAATTACATTATCGTTTAATTGCGTCATCTTCATTTTTTCCTGTATGGGTCTGTGCAGGGGCAGTCCCAGCTTACCAGTGTGCTATCACTACTACTGAAGGGCCGTTAGGGAAATACTGTGTTGAAATACTATGTCAGAACTATGGTGGCTTCCATGTAAGATTTAGTTTTGAGGAATATTTCTAGTCATAAACAACTAAATAGGACTAGAATATGTTCAACCATGCATTTCAGGATTGCCTGCACTCATTTATCTGTCCACATGTCCTGTGTGTATGTGAGTAGTTTGTTTCAACCATTCAGTAAAACTTAAGGAACTTAAAGGAGAGGTCCATTTCAAAGGTCTAATATAAATTCATTGACTTGTTGGGTATTTAGCTTAATTTTTTTAAATTTAACTTGCAGCCCAAATCTCTTGCTCATTTGTCCTTGATAAGAGAAGCAGCAAATTTCAAACTCAAATATGGGCGGAAGAAGGAGGCAATTAGTGACCTAGAACAGCTATGGAAGTAAGTTCTGAAAGGTGAAGCTGTAGAAATCTGTGTCTTATTGCTGTTATTTAATAAGAGAGAAATGATTCTCCCTGTTGTTTTCTTAGTTTATAAACTATTCAGTAACTTTCTTATTTCTTTTAGACAAAATCCAAAAGATATTCACACCCTGGCACAGCTTATTTCTGCATACTCGCTTGTAGATCCAGAGAAAGCAAAAGCGTATCCTTTTTATTGTGGTTCCTGACAGCTCCCCATTGAACATAGAGCTCTTCTATAGGACCTATGTGTTGACCAAATACTTTTTTTTTGCAGTACTAGGGATTGCAGGCAAGTGCTTATTCTACTGAGCTATCTCCCTGGCCCTGACCAAATATTTTTGTTGTAAATTTCAATTAACAATAAAATCTCCCTCTAACTACCAAAAGTAGATACTAGAATTACTAATCATTGTGACTGAGCAGTGTAGTGATAGCTTTACCTTGAGGTAGTCTGATTTAGAAGCAAAAAGGAAGTTAATATTCCTCCATGTTTAAGTCCAGCCCCATACACAAACACATAAGTGAAATAACAGTGTATATTATGGGTAGTTGTGCATGTATTTTGAGATGGTTACTATTGTAATTAAAGATTTAGGATACTGGGTTTTTTTGTTTTGTTTTTTGCAGGACTCCGGTTGAACTCAGGCCCTTGCGCTTGCCGGGCAAGCACTTATTCTACTGAGCCTTCTCCCCGGCCCTACTCAGTTACTGTTGATGGGAGGGTTTGGTGTCCTGAGATTGTACTTGGGTTGTACATGCTCCTCTAATCAAGGCAGGGGAGTGGATGATCACCAGCCTTTGCAGTGAGCAGGCTTGTATTTTATAGGCTTGATGATTGCTTTAGGAATACCTTTAAATACATCACTGAGCTAAGCAATAAATGATAAGATTGTGACCCTTCATGTTCTCTTTTCAAAATGTATGCTTACATAATTGACATGACTTGCTAGTCTGCTATACTGCAGAAGATTTAAGAGCAGTGTTTTGTTTGCTTTTGATGAAAGATCTAAGGAAAAGACAAGCCTCTTGTTCTGTTGGCATATGTATATTGACGGATGTGTATGTTGTATTCCTGAACTCTTATTCTCTTGTAGTCTTAGCAAACACTTGCCCTCATCGGATAGTATGTCTCTAAAAGTAGATGTTGAGGCTCTTGAAAATTCTCCTGGTGCTACGTATGTTCGGAAGAAGGGTGGAAAAGTCACCGGCGATAGTCAACCAAAGGAACAAGGGTAATGTTTATTTAGCTAAAACCATTTCTAAAATAGTCTCTAGTGCTGATTTTAAATTACATAAGAATAAAAAAATACATTCTCATAAAAATCCACATGAATGAAGTGTAAGTCCCCCGTGTTTCTTTTCCTGTGACCAGCACATACTCCTTCTTTCCCCTCTGCCTCAGCCCAAAATCAGCCTTGGGTGTCAACAGAGTGCAGTGATGGCAAACTTTTAGAGCCTTCAGTGACATTAACAACTCACTGTGAGGGCTGGCGAGATAGCTCAGCAGACTAAGCACCTCCTTTGTCAAATGCAGGGACCAGGGTTCGATCCCTGGTCCTGCATGTTGTGCCAGCCCTGGTCCCAGGGCACGCTGAGCCTGCGACCTAGACTGGGGAAGGTGGCATATGCCTGTATCCCAGCCAGCACTGAGAGGCTGAAAACAGCAGGATCACCATCAGTCCAATCTGCATAGTGAGACCCTGTACCAAATACATAAAGAAATTTAAATAAAATAACACTGGCCACCAGCCATAGGTTCACCACGACTGACACAGTGTATCTTCTATCTTGGTATCTGCACACATAAGATCATCTATAAATATTGTGTTATTTTTCACAGAAGATAGATAGATGCTGTTGTATGATTTTCTAACTTGCCTTGAATTTAGTAGGTCCTGGAGATCTTTCCATGGACCAAGTGTAGACATATTTCATTTTTTTTTAATGCAAAACATTCTATTGGTTGAATTTATTATACTGGATGTATCCTGAACATCATTTATTTTTTGTTTTGTTTTGAGACAAGGTGTCACAGTGTAGTTCAGGCTGGCCTTGAAATCACTGTGTAGCCCAGGCTGGCCTGGAACTTGTGGCAGTCCTCCTGCCTTAGTCTCTTGAGCGCTGGGATTGCAGATGTATGCCCCTATACCTATCTCATCGTTTAGTATTGCCAAACAAAAGTTCAGATGGTTTATTTTGCCAATTTCTTAGAAAGGTTAATCAGTTTCATTTATTTACAGTAAGTCAGATTATGATTCTTTCCTCGTTCTCCCAGATTACCATCATAAAGTCATTTAGCAGAGGGATAAGGATGGAGCTCCGCAAGCAGCACAAATGCCTACCTGGCCAGTGTGAAGTCCTCAATTGAATTCCCACTACCAAAAAAAAAGAGGCCCAAGTAAAAGGTTCTGATTTTCATTCAGAGCAGAGCATGCAACAGATCAAATACTTGGCCAGTTTTGTGAATTTTCATACTTTTACATTTTCTTCTTTTGTGATTGTCTTTTTTTAATCTGAATTTTGCCCTGACTGAAGACAGTCAGGAGTGTAACTAGGAGTGTAGCTGATCAGAAGATCATTTGCCTGGCATGCTTTAGGCCTTAGATGCCATCTCTACTACCACACACATGAAAAAGTAACTATGTATGTATGATTGCTCTCCTTCATTAAGAACTCTGATAAAGTTCTCACCACCTGCTTAGCAAGCACAAGGACTTCAATTTGATCCCCAGTGCTGCATGCCATGTGGGCTCCGAGCTATGCCAGCCCCTGAAATGGTGTGGTGGCGCACACCTGTAATCCCAGTACTGGGGAGGCTGAGACAGGAGGATCACTATGAGTCTGAGCTGTGTAGTGAGACCCTGTACCAACTAAATTTAATTAATTTTAAAAAAACCTGATAAAAAGTATCCCCATATTCTTAAAAATTTAAGAATTGGAGTCTTAGAGATACCAGCTTGTTGTAAATTCCATCTTGTCATGATTCCAACTTCAAGCCTTATCAGGAACACCAAAATTAATGCAACTAGATCTTAAATGGGCTTTCAAGTATCACCTGTTTAAATATTTTCAATACATTTTTCTTTACCAAAATGAGTGTTGGGTACCTACTAAGAATGTACAATCTTTTTGTGATCCTTGTGCCTCAGCCTTCCAAATGCTGTGATTACAGATGTGCCCTATTATGTCTGGCCAGTGTTCTTTTCCTTTTTTCTTTTTGTGGAACCAGGGATTGAACTCAGGCCCTTCCACTTGCAAGGCAAGTGCTTATTCTACTGAGCTGAGCCATCTCCCCAGCCTTTGTTAGATGTTATTAATGGTCCCTATTTTATGCTAACTTTTGGGTGCAAAGGATTAGTTTCTTTTGAAGCTATACTGTGTTACGGGTTTGTGCTAGCGGTTGACCAGAATATAAGGCAAGAGGAAATATATGTAAACAACATGTGTAATAAAGGTTTATGTGTTAGGGTTGCATGTCTTATAGAGGAGTATGCCAGAGGGAGTAGTTATTCCTTAGGACAGTGGTAATGAGGCAGACATTTGGGCAGTGATTTTTCAGATTTTGAGGAGGACTTGAGTAGACAAATTGGGCAGAGGCTTAGGACTAAGAAATTAGCAGAGAACCTCTGGGAAATTCTGAGCAACCGGGATCCTGTTTCAAAATCTAGTGCTAGATGAAATACTAAGCTAATAGAATAAGACACTACCTTTTATTTTTATTCTTCAGGATATCATGAATGAGCTTTTACAACTGAATGACATAGGGATGAAATTTTGGCAGTGTCAAAGGAACCTGTTCAGAGATTTAGCTCCCTCTTTTTTTTTTTTTTCCATAATTTTATTGAGAAATAAATAGCAATGAGACAGTTTCAAATCAAATTGGTAGGACAGTTCCAATTAACACATTGCATACTGCCTGCCTAGTGGTTGTTTGTTGTACAAGATGTAGAAATGATACACTATTTACAAAAACTATTAGAATAAATCCCTCTATTCCTTGAATTAAGAGAATGTAGCTATATATATGTCATAACCAGTTTTTTTCAAAGTTTTATTGATAAATGTCATAACCATTTTGAATACACAGATACAAAATGAACATTCATCTATATCCCCATCTTTTTAGTTCCATCATTTTAAATATTATATGTATGTGAACTCAGCAAAATATTCCAAAACAGTCCATAGTCCATAAAAATATTGGGTCTTCCAATTGACAGGCAATGTCAGAAGTTGTTGACCTGAGTCCCCTACAGCTCAAGGACCTAAGTTCAATCCCCGGTTCCGCAAAAAAATAAATAAATAAAAGAATTGTAGCTATTGCATCTGATAATGTCAGTCAAATCCCCACAGGCTTTATCCTGAGACCCTGTACCTCAGATTGTAGATCCTTTGTCAGTGTCAGCCATGTGGATGAGTCACGGCCATTGCTTGGCCAATGAGCTCTCTGTGAAAGCCTGAAAGAATGTTTTCTCTGCATGTGACTCTCCTTAGGCACACTCTGTATCATCGATCACTTTCCTCTTTGGCTCCGTAATCTCCTTGATCAGAAAATTTGGGACACTACTGAGTTACATGACGTTACAGTACAAATTCTCATATGTCCTGAGTCTTAATTGACCTTGGAAGGCTAGGGCCAAAATGTTGACTTTCCTTACAGCCATCCTTTTTCTCTAATTTTGGTCTCCAAACTTAGGTTGTTAACCATCCAGAAGACAAGCTTATTGTTATTACCATACAACCTAGGCTGTTAAGCTTAACCTCACTATCTGTCTGAATATCAAACATCTTAGGCATAACATGGAACAGGTATTTTTCATCAAGTATTGATATGTTAAATTTTAAGTCCCTACAGAATATGATGAAAAAATATTGAAAAATTAGAATATATTTTAAAAATAGGCATAAAGAATTATATAATTATTATGTTTACACTTGAGTCCTGAAATCTATCCATATACAACCTTGAAGCAGGACAGTCCCACAACATTCCTTTTCTTGTCTCCTGCTTTCATTCACCACCCCCTTCTTTTTGAACAATCATCTACCCGAGAGAGAGCACAGCAGCAACTGGCATGACATGACAAGCAGCCTGTATTCAGAAGACCAGAATGACAGGCACTGTAAGCATGAACCTACTATTTCAAATTGCCATCTCCAGTGCAGTTGCTTAGTTCACAAGTGTCAGTATATATAGTTAGTCAGGGTGAGAATCTTTCCAATTAACTCCTAGATTCAAAAATCTTCTGAAGATTCTCATGATCATTGCCTTACCCATCTTGTACATACAACTGTATGGCTTGCCACTGTCATGTTTCCTAGCTCTTCTCCTTTCCTTCTGTTAATTAGTTAGTCCTCATGTTTTTGCTTCCTTTTAGTTGTATTATACCTTTCTATTTGTATTTCTTCTTTTGAGTTCTTATACTAGGGAGACAATACAATTTACACATGTGGGTCTGGTTCATTTCACTTATAAGTATGTCTTCAAGTGGCATCCACTTCAATATAAAAGCTTCGAGTTTATCATTCTTTATAGCTGAGTAATACTCCATTGTATAAAAATACCACATCTTTTTCATCCATTCCTCAGATGATGGGCATCTTGGTTGTTTCCAAGATTTGGCTATCACAAATTGTGCTGCTGTAAACATAGGCACACATATATCACTATGATACAATGTTTTCAGATCCTCTGGGAAAATTCCCAGTAGTGGAATAGCTGGTTTAGTACAGGGTCTTGCAGCTCAGACTCACAGTGATCCTCTTGTCTCAGTCTCCCCGACCCTGAGATTACAGGTATGTGCCACCGCACCCAGTTCGGGGGCCAACACAGCAAGCAGTACCGGGGATCGAACCTGGGTTACTTGCACTTGCCAGTCAGGTGCTTAGACTACCGAGCTGTCTGGAATAGCTGGTTTAAATGGGTTTTCCAGTTCTAGTTTTCTAAGGAGTCTCCACACTGATTTCCATAACGGTTGCACCAGTCTACATTCCCACCAGCAGTGGGGAAGTGTTCCTTTTTCCCCACAGCCTCTCCAACATTTGTTGTTGGGTGATTTCTTTGTGATAGCCATTCTTTCTGGGGTGAGATGTTAATCTCATTGTTTTAATTTGCATTTCACAGATGGCTAGTGATGTAGAGCATTTTTTCATATATTTATTCGCTTCTTTAATTTCATCCTCTGAGAAGTGTGTGTCCATCTCGGATGCCCATTTCTGGATTGGGTCTTTATATT